TGTCCTTATTCAACAAAAGCACAGTGTCACTCAGTTCAGCAGAATACGGTGCTGGCTAGGTCAGGTTATGGTGTAGTGGTTGCCCCATGAAGGGCAATACTTGACAAAGTGTTGCCCACCACATCTGAGGCAGACTGCAGCATCCTTCCTCTTTTGCCATAGCTCGTCTGAGATACGCAAGTCCCTCCGTGGGAGAGAGGAAGGCTCCATGGGGTTAGCTGGACATTTGGCAAACTTGGGCAGATTTTGCTTTTGAGGTCCGCAGGGGCGTTTGGCAGACCCCATAGGAGAGGGGGACCTTTGTATTTGGAGCTGATTTGCGCCCTTCACTGCGCTTACCAGTTCCTGAGCCAAAGTCAGAATAGCCTGGTCTGGGAAGCCTCCTGCACCTTGACTAGATGATGGAGTCAATCCTCTCCGATCAAAGCCTGCAGAGTCTTCCACAGATTTCATCTTGTGCCACCTCCATTTGCTCTTCCTCTGACTCTGAGGAGGGGAGGTGCTTCCCGCCTAGGAAGTGGACTGGATTTGGAGTGTGGACTCCAGATCCAAGGCTGCTCTGCAAAAGGCCTTCCAATCCTTGTGACCTGCAGAAAATAGGGCCTGCACATAAGTTATCGGGGTAGCCTCAACAAACAATTGCAACTTGTCCTGGTTTGACATGGATAACCCAGGTGTAGAGGTTAGCCTTTCCCAAACTGCATAGAGCTTGGAGAGGGATCCCTGCAACTGTGACTGGCCTATCCTTTTTCATGCTGACACCCGCGGGCCGATATGTGTGTGCTGGTGCTTTAATCTAATCCACTTTGCCAGTGGGACCTCGCCCAGAGACCTTCGCTATACTTGTTATTGCACTCTGGAAGCTCAGCCCGAAATGCAATTCTAAGAGGATACAGCTGCCGTCTTCACCCGAATACTTGGGGTAACTTATCAGTACAGATGCAGCGATATTGACCAGGGGCCAAGTCCCGCTTATCCCTGTCCTTCAGTGTTGCACACCCCGACAGTCGGCGGCCCTTGACTGGTCGGCTGCCGACCCGCCGACCGGTCGACTGATCGGCACCTACCTGTGGGGGTCATCGGCACCCCGCAAAAAAAAAAAAAGAATAAAAACAAATTGGGGTCCAAAACTAGGAAGAGTTTCATGACCGGCCAGTCACCCAGGCGTGACGCCCGGGATACCCGGGCATGGGAAAAAAAAAAAAAAAAATTGGCGGTGGGGTTTTTTCGCCCTCTCTGAGAGGAGCCCAAATCCGGGCTCCTTTCTTTTTTTGTGTGTTGGCTGTCCAGGGGGGGGAAGGGGAGTATAAATGAA